CCCCGGAAATTAAGACCTAACCTGAAAATAAGCCCTAGCATGATTTTTGAGGATGCTTGTAATATAAGCCCTACCTCCAAAATAAACCCCAGTTAAGTACAGTATTACATGAAACCACACCCTCCACCAGTGTGCAGCAGCAACCTGAATGAGATGACATGACTGTATTTGAATAAATGTAGATTGTTGTACATAAAAAAAAATAAAACTTCCCCTGAAAATAAGCTCTAATGCATTTTTTAGAATGCACAGCCCCTGTGTTATTTTCGGGGAAACATGGTAAATCCTCAATATATGGTACTTGGTTTGTTGTTGTTGTTATGTCCAGTCAGGTTTAACCAACGGCAACCCTATGAATGAGTGATCTCCAAAATGTCCTGTCTTCAACAGCTTGCTTTGCAGAGTCAGTCTCATATTTTTGGTCTTCCTCTTTTCCCGTTACCTTCAGGTTTTCCTAGCACTGAACCTGGTAGCTTAGTACTAAACTTTTATATTGTTGATTCCCAAGCTCGGGCCCCCAGGTGTTCTTGGACTAAAACTCCCAGAAGCCTTCAACGCTAGCTATGCTGGCCAGGATTTCTGGGAGCTGTAGTCCAAGAACAGCTGGGGACCTAAGATTGGGAACCACTGACTGATATTGATAAATTGGAATAGGTGGGTGGATATGTCTTCTTGCCTTAAAATACATCCTGTATATGTTGACACTGCTGCATGCTTTGTGTTGGACCCCCATGAAAAAGGCAGGGAGGGGTTGATTAGGAAACTGGTAGATGAGATAAGGAGCCACACAGCAATTACAGATGAAGCCTTGTGCAAAACCATGAGACATTTTAGTTCCCCAGAGTCCTATTTTATTCCAAAATCCACACAACTACATCTACAATGTGGCTATCTTGCTGCATTGTCTCCTGATGAGGTGCAAGGTAAAGGTAAAAGGTAAAGGTTCCCCTTGACAATTGTTGTCCAGTCATGTTCGACTCTATGGGGCGGTGCTCATCCCCGTTTCCAAGCCATAGAGCCAGCGTTTGTCCAAAGATAATCTTCCGTGGTCACATGGCCAGTGCGACTTAGACACGGAACACTGTTACCTTTCCACCAAGGTGGTCCCTATTTATCTACTCATATTTGCATGCTTTCGAACCGCTAGGTTGGCGGGAGATGGGACAAGCAACGGGCGCTCACTCTGTCACGTGGATTTAATCTTACAACTGAAGATCTACAGACCTTACAGCACAGAGGCTTCTGCGGTTTAACCCACAGCACCACCACGTTCCAGATGAGTTGTAAACAATAAAGCAAACAGTTTCAACAACTTATCATGTACATCTTTTTAAATAAAAGACAAATGTCTAAGATAAAAAGTTTCCCTGCCAAACTATTGACTTTTTGTGGGTGGGGGATTAACAGTCAATACCATTTATTAGGGTGGGGAAATCCCTTCCTTTCTTCCTTCCTTCCTTCCTATGATGGGTCTATAATTGGAGGAGACCACTAGAATTCTTAGTAGGTTTAGGAAATATGAGAAATGTACATGAAATCCAACCCCTAACTCTAACCTTAAATCAAGTGCAATGCTCACTCTACTGCTAGCGCAATCAGAAAATAGAATTGGTGCATTGCCAATTTAAATCATCAACTATGAGGGTAAAATCCAGTTTTGCACAAAGAAATCCAGCTAATGAGTTAGAACAGTGAACAAAAAAATAAAACCTTATTGATAGCCATATTCTGGGCTGTTTATGATTCTTGTATCTGAGTGGAGAGTTCAATGAGTTAGGAAGAAGGCTGGGAGTTTGATTCCTTACTGTTTCTCCAGGGAGAAGAAGCAACCCTTGTGCACAGCCCCAGAGAATACTTTCAGAAGGAGGGTATGGTAGACCACTTCTGAGTACTCTCTAACTAGAAAACTGGGAAAGGGATTGCCATGTCAGAATTGACTCGATAGCACAATATTACCTTGTTTCCCCAAAAATAAGACCTAACCTAAAAATAAGCCCTAGTATGATTTTTTCAGGATGCTCATAATATAAGCCCTACCCCAAAAATAAGCCAGTTAAGTGAAATCCCACCCTCCACCATTGTGCAGCAACCAGAAGATGAATCAGCCAGAAGATGAACCAGAACATTTGAATCAATGTAGATTGTTGTACATGAAAAAAATTAAACATCCCCTGAAAATAAGCCCTAATGCATTTTTTGGAGCAAAACTTAATATAGGACCCTGTCTTATTCTCTGTGAAACACGGTGTTATTATCATTCTTTGTTAATTGATGTAGGTGTTGTAGAACTTTGTGGGAAAGTAATATGTTATGTTTTATTAAATACCGCTTATCAAAAATATTGTCCTATTCACTTTATAGTTTCATCTCAATTGTAGGTTGTAGTTCATTTTTTGTAAGTTGTAGTTCACTGTTGTTCACTTTCATGCAACAAGCTTCAAAATGTGCAAATCACATTTTGATTTGCACATTTTGAAGCTTGTTATATGAAAGTGAACAAAGACTGATGATGAGGTATTTGTTATTTTCCTTCTCATTGGTTCTGGGCTTCAGATCAAGTTTGGTACTTTGAGATTACTTACCCATTACACCTTTAATTGCCTTTTTATATGCATAATCACGATGGTTAAAATGTTACAGATGTTTCTATGCTTATGAACTAGTGTTGTTTAAAAACCAGTTTTGTCCTCTTGGTTTAAAGTTATCCACAGTGCTTTAGAGATGTAAAAGAATGGCACTTATTTGTTTCAAACACTTGACTACATTTATTCAGTTTTGAAAAAACAGCCCTGAGGCTACCCACATAAACTCTTACATGAATTAGAATTCCATTGACCCTGGGACTTTTACTTTCCATTGAAACCCACAGAGAATTGCATGGTTATTATGACCATCAAACTGTTTTTTAAATATATATATATGGTAGAGTTCATTTTGAGGTTAGGTTCCCATTTCACGATAAAAATGTACCATGGTGTGATTTTAGTGCGTTGTTGATAACTACATAGTTCTTTATAATAAGACAATAAAACTGTATGAAAGATATGCCAGAAAAGAAATGAGGATCATAATCGGAGTATGACCGTGGTATTGGACGAAAAAACCTAATCGTTAATCCGGATTAGTGACAGTATACAGAATGGTACGGTCTTGGTGTAAATGGGCTGGAGGGACGAGGGAGGCACGTTCCTGTTAAAAAAAACATTCGGAAAATAAGATTATAGAAAATAGGGCATGCTGTCCTAAACGTGAAAAAAAACGACCCCGGCAGGGACACGTAGTCCTTCTGTGAATACAAAGGTATGGTGGGAGGAGAGACGCTCTCCCGCCTTGACCGGGTGTCGAACGCCGTCTATGGGGAAAAGAAAAAAAAAGGCTCGCCAAAATGGAGTAAAACGAGGAGCAAGTACGAAGCTGTCACCTCATCCCTTGCCCCTTCCCCGCACTGCTAGAAGATACCAAGACACCGGTGCTGAGGAGGAGAGGGTGGCACGGAGCGAGTGGAACATTCCAAACGGTTAAAATGACGTTCGGGGAGGAGGGCTTTCCCTATTCGCGAGGCCGCGCCTCTTCTCTCCTCGCCTCCCCCACCCGCCTCCGTTCTCTGGATAGAGAAGCGGCGCAAAATTTCTCGTCTTCGGAGACAAGGGCCGGACCTGAGGGGCGTGACGTCAGCGCGCCTCGGCGTGGGGGGCGGGGCCAGCGGCGGCTGCCGCAGTAGCAGCCGCGGCAGGAGCTTAGTTGCAGTTCCCAGGGTGCCTCGCGGCTCCATTTGAGCCCCATCTTGGGCGAGGGGGCTGAGCAGTTTGAATTTCAGCTCCTTCGGCAGCGCTTGAGAGCGAAGCGCGTACGGAGTACAAAAAGAGAGAGCGAGAGGGCGAGGGCGAGGGCGAGACGGGCCCAGCCCAACCCCACCGCACTCTGCTTTGCCTCGCTCGGCTGAGGAGGGGAGCGCGAGTCCGGCCGCAGACAGAGCGCGAGACAGGCGACTCCGGGAGGGAGGCCCGCCCGCCTGCCTGAGGGGGCCGCAGTGGAGCCCGGCTCGTTCTTCCGTCCACCCCACCCCCGCGCGCTTTCCCCTCCGCCTAAGAAGATGCGTCTGGTGCTGATCTCCAGGTAGAGAGCGGAGGCAGGGCGGCCTGCGCCTCCGTCGGAATTGCCGATTGCGGCCGCTGCCGCCGCCGCCGCCACCGCCCCTCTTCGGAACCTGACGGACGGACTGGACTCGCGGCCTTGGGCCCGCCTTGGGGACCCCCCTCCCCCTGGTCCCGCCGGAAGCTTAGCGGAAAAGCGCCTGGACCGAGAGCGTCACCCCGGCCTCGCGAGCCTGTGAAGGACTGTGGAAGGAGCCGGGGCTGCAGAAGGCGACCGCGGGACAGACAACTCCACGGAGAGGAGGAGGTGGTGGCGGCTGCCGCCTCCGCCGCGTTGCTGGTGCGGTTGCCCGCTTGCCCGTCCGGCGGCCCTCAGTTCGGCTGAGAGGAGGGAAGAGGAGGAGGAGCCGGGCCGCCGCCCCCTTTTTGCCTCTCGCTCTCTTTCGCTCCTCTCCAGCCCTGGGCCTGGTGGCCGCCCGCTGAGCCGGGAGTGCGTCGTCGTGAGGCCGGAGGAATGTGCGATACGGCCGGCGTCTGCGCCGTAGACAGAACGTGATCCTCCCCCCGCTCCGCCGAGGGCTCGTCTGGCCGGCGCGGACTTCCCCCCCCCCTTCCTTCGCCGACTCCGCGTAGTTTTTCGCCGACTCCAACGAGGGCAGGTGGGCGGAACCCCCAAACCACCTTCTTCCTCCGGCTTCTTCCAGCACGCACTCTCTCCCTCCCCTCGTCGTCCTCCTCCTTTCGGGGGGAAGAAGAAAAAAGCACCATGTCCAAGATGCCGGCCAAGAAGAAGAGCTGTTTCCAAATCACGAGCGTGACGACGGCCCAGGTGGCCAGCAGCATAACCGAGGACACGGAGAGCCTGGACGATCCGGATGAATCCCGCACCGAGGACGTGTCCTCCGAGATCTTCGACGTGTCCCGCGCCACCGACTATGGGCACGAAGACGTCTGCGAGCGGAGCTCCTCCGAGGAGACTCTCAACAACGTGGGCGACGCCGAGACTCCCGGGACGGTCTCTCCCAACCTGGCCCTGGATGGGCAAGTCGCTGCTGCTGCCGCCGCCGCCGCCGCCGTGGCCTCGGGAGGATTACAACCGCCGCCTTCGCCTGCTGTGCCTGCCGCCAATGGAGGAGCGGTTCCCAGGAGTACCGCCATGCCCGCAGCGGCTGCCACCCCAGTTTCCTCGGTGGCGGCAGGAGGCAGCAGTGCGCAGACAGCTGCTGGCCCTGGAGCTGTGCCGCTAACGGCTGCCGCTGCCTGCAGTTCCCGCTTCAGGGTGATCAAGCTGGATCACGGTACTGGGGAGCCCTACCGACGGGGGCGATGGACGTGTATGGAATACTACGATCGGGACACGGATGGTGGGGCCGTTTTAGCCAGGACTGGGGATTGCATTAGACACAACAGTACTTTTGAACAGGCTGTTCAAGATAGGGATAGTGGTTTGGGTGCTACTGGCAGCTCCTTGATAGTCTCAGGTGTGGCAACTTCAGTGCATGGCCCCGACTCCCTTGCTGACAGCTCACTTGCTGCTATGTCGCAGCTACTCCAGCCAGAGAAAATAAACCAGCCTTCTCCACAGCAACCTAATTTTGTCATTGGGCAGCAGCCCATAGGTGGGGCTGTGCCTCACAGTAGTGCTCAGCCCGTCTATTCAGGGGCTACAGCAGCAAGCCAGCAAATGATGGGGCCTCTGCTGCAGACCCAGCCACAGGTAAATGTGCAGAGCACGGGACAAGCTGGACCCAATGGGAAAAGCATGCCACCTTCGAATGTAGCAATACCCCAGACGAGTTTGCCCATGCCACAACAGCAGGTACAACAAGCGAATGTACCAGGCACTCAGACTCAGCAGTTTGCTTATTCTCAATCACAGATTCCACCAGTGCATCTGGTGCAGGCCCCAGCTCCTGGCCAGCCAGAATTCATTCAGCATATGTCAGTAATGCAGTCTCAAGGAGCTCAACAAGCTGCTTCAGGCACTGTCCCAAGCACTGGAACTTCCAGTCTTCCAGCAGCACAAGTAGCTGGACAGAATCCCTCACCTATAGTACCAGCGATGGGAGTTTCTTCACAGGCTGGTGAAACAGTAGGACAGGGATCCGGACTAATGCAAAGTGGCTTGACAACTCCAATTCAGACTGTCATTCCTCAGCCAGGAGGTGTGGTGCAGCAAGGCATTGGACATGCAGGGATTGTGCAACAGAAATCCATGACTCAGCAGCAGATGGGTGGAAGCAGTCAAGCGGCTGGTGCTCCTCACAGTATAGTTTCTGGAGTTCAGAATGTGCCTGCAGCTGTACCTGGTACTAGCGTGCCTAGTGCATCTACAACTTGTGTTACTATGCCAAATGCGCCTGTTACTTTAGTCCAGTCCCAAATGACCAGCCATACGTCTGTCAGTAGGAGTTCCAGTGTTGTCCAGCAGCACATTGGCCTTCCTCTAATGCAAGGCACAACCAATATACCTACAAATCTGCCACAATCTAATATTGGACAATTTCAGACTCAGTCTTTAGGCCAGATTGATGATACTAGAAGAAAATCTGAACCCCTACCTCAACCACCACTTTCTCTTGTTGCTGAAAATAAACTTGTGAAGCCACCTATTCCAGACACTTTAACAAACCCTCTTAGCTTACCTGCAACTACTCCCATGAACAGTCTTGCCAGCTCTGTCTTTGGCATATCTATTCCTGTTGATGGTGATGAAGACAGGTATTTATCCTTTATACATACGTACATATATATGTTTATTGTGCAGGCACTTAATTGCAAAATTATTCTGCCAGCAATTGTTTCATCAAGTTTAAATACAGTACATCTTCATGTTTGTTCTAAGGGCAGTTCCTTATAATATGTGACAGAGGAGATGCATATTTGGTTCACAGGTAAACTACTTGTGTAGCAAAAATGTGTTTAAATTTTCATAAGAAAGAACATAAGGAAATAATGTGAATGCTAAGCTGTGTACTAAAAAGGAAAGCATGTTTCCTGCAGTATTGAAGACCAGATATACTAATCCTTCAGCGTGTTAAATGCATGTTATGGTTAAAAGAAAAGGAAGGCTTTTGTTTTCTTTTATTTTAAGTATAAAGTGAATTCTTACAGCTATGCATTTGCTTGAATTTAATCTGTTGAGCTGGATGCCAAGCTTACTACTTACCAAACTTGTGTATGTGTTATTCTTTTGAGTCCATCTTTTTTTAATTCAAACATACACAGTAGTAGTGGTTATCGAAAGAAAACAAGATGCTGCCTGAGAAAATGCATGTATATTTAGTGGATTTCAGTAGTGTGTTTCTGGATTTACTTTCTGTGTTAGCATTGCAAATGATTTCAAAGTGGGGAAAACTAAGGAGTCTAAGTAAACATGGCTTCTTTTTGCTTTTATAGAAGAGAATTGCTTTATCATTTTTAGAGATGTTTATTTCATAAGGAAAACAAAATATTGAAAAGTCAGTGAATAAGAACTATTTTAGGGAGGCGTGTTCAGGGGCAGTTAGAATGGAATTCATTTAGACTCGCTTCCTCTTATTGCTTAAGATTGCAAGTTTGGCTTGCTTAAAGCCAAAAGAATTGGATTATAAATGTGTTCTGTTAATTACTTGAAGTGAAATGGATATTGTCTTTATGGAAAGTCTTGTGGATGAAACACTGTTGGGTGACCTCTATATAGTTTCTTTGGAGAAAGTACCAAATTTGGAAATGCAATGTTCTCAAATCCTGTAAAACTTCAAAAGGCTTTAAGAAACAGATTCACCAAGAAGTCAGTAATAAAGAAGCTTTTAAACTATAAAAGAAAACATATGTTTATACAATGGGAAGTAGAAAGAGATAAGCAGAATAGTAGCAAAGGAAAAAACTGGGAAGTTCGTTTTGCTAACTGCTCTATGGTGTAGTTCTGTAAGACTTAGAGATATAGGAGTAGAAATACTTGGTCATCAAAGGTTGAACCCCCGTACTCATGTCCCTGGGAGTAAGCACCATTGAACTCTGGAAGACAAAATACAAAGAAACTTTGCCTAAAAAGTACTAATTTTCTTAACACATCTTTCAAACAGAATAAAATTCTGCCAGAAGCATCAGAAAATTTTCTTGCATTTGAATTTGTAAGTACTGTATCGAATAAGAATTCTCTAGGTGAAATAGTAATCTAATATAGGTGTCAGTTGTAATTGTCAGGAAATCTACTTATGATTAAATACAGAATAAAATAGGGTTTTGTAGCTTTCCATTGCAGCAACTGATAGTATAGTATTGACAGTTGGGTATTACATTTAGCTCAATGTTCCTATGGTATATCACAGATTAATACACCAATAATGCAAATATGCATTTCATTTTGTCTTATTTATTATGCAATTTTGTTTTAAGTTTTGGATATAGAAATATATCTAGCAGCATAATATTGACACAAACAGTTTCTTAAGTGGCTGTGCTACATAGTAATGGAGGTATCTCATACTGCTGCACAAACCTAAACATATTTACTTGGAAATATGTCCCACTGAGCTTGTACTCCATAGTAAGGCTGCTCAGGATTACAGCCTCAGTTTTTCAAGTGGTAATGCTAGTTATCTGCTGTTTGCATGTTACTTTAATAATGGAAAAACATTTGTAATATTTGTTTGAAACGGAACTTCTTTTTTGACCTTTCTTCTTCTTCTTCACTGAATTGTTTTGTGATTGTGTCACATATAACTCCTTGGCCTGCTAAGAGGGCTTCTTAAAGGTAAACTTGTGCATCTCTGTGTTGCTGTACACGTGAGATGTGTGTGGCCATTTCAGACAGTGTCTGTGAAATACTGTTATCTTACTGCAAGCCTCTTCCCAGCACTGACAGCACGGTAAGAGTGCATTCACATGAACATCCTGCTGGAACATTCCTTTTTTCCTTCAGCCTCCCTCCCTCCCCCCACTGAGAGAGCTTCCACAGTGATAGAAGATTGACTGACTTGTATTCTGGCTGCTTCCCTGCATTCTGAAAAGGGAGGTAAAAGTGCATAGGAAGAGTAGTATTGGGAGAAGATTTTTGTTTGTTTGTTTGTTTTGCAAAATATAATGAAAGGGAATACTTCGATTGAAAAGTTCCTGTTTGCATTGGTGGGAATTAAGCAGCCTAAGCCATATTAAGCAGTGTTAGATTAAGCTTCCATGAGGATTTTGTCAGCATGGAATGTACAGGAGAAATGTATCTCATTGTATGGCCACTTCCACTGATTTTATTCTGCTTGTGTTAAATGGCTATCATTTCAATTCATTTCTACAAGGCATAGTTTGGGCAGCTTGTGACCCTCCAGATGTTCCTGGTCTGCAACTCCCATTACAACCAGCATCAGTGATTGTGATAGTGAGTTGCTGTCTAATAACAACTGGATGGTTTCTAATTGGCCAGCTCTGGCATAAAATGTGCTGTGTAGAATGCAGTGACAGTATGGAACAGTGGCTTATAGTGGTAGAAATAATACTTTTAAAACATCTGGGCTGTTAATATTATAACCAGAACAAATAGCCAAAATTAAGCATATTATCTACTGGGTAACATATTAATGGAATATAACTTTGGCTAGTTTATATAATATACAGTAATAAAGTTTGTCAATTTCAGGTGACAAAATAGCTTTACACTTACGTTTAATAACTTAACCTTTCACAAATTTAGCTGTCAAAAGTGAGATTACATATCCTTTAGTTTTGTTAAATCCTAACATCTGCTGGCTTCTGAAAACAAAACCAGCTGATGTCTATACATTTGGCTCCTGAAAAATATGTTGCTGCTCTTGAAAGGGTAAATCATTGGGAAAGCTTGTTTAAACCTCCTACATGTTTGGCAGATATTTGGTGCAAATATTACCAGGCTGGCTAGAAAAGGCATAGATAGCTGACCAGTATGAACTGTGCAGGCTGTTGTCCAGAACTTGGATGAATAGCTGCAATTGTGAGCATTCATCAGCAGCCGCTAGATTGTTGAAAACCTGATTGTAAGGATTTCTTCATAGAGTATGTCTGTGTTCATTTAAAAAGCTTATTTGTATAGTGCCCTAATTGTTTCTGATAAAGGATTATAATGGAACAAAGGCTTGCATTAGCACTAACATTGATAAGCATCCCTTAATTCATTGCTAAAAATGTGTAGTATATGTTCTATTTGAAGAAAAAGAAAATAAAGGGATTATGCAGGTTAAAAAACAGATATTATTCAGATTCTGCAGTTACTACCATGTTTCTCCAAAAAAAAGACAGGGTCTTATATTAATTTTTGCTCCAAAAAAGCATCAGGGCTTATTTTCAGGGTTTTTTTTCCCCATGTACAACCATCTACATTGATTCAAATACAGTCGTGTCATCTTCTGATTGCTGAACAATGGAGGGGGTGGGGTTTCACTTAACTGTGGTTTATATTTGGGGTAGGTTTTATTTTCGGGGAAACAGGGTAGTTTGTTTGTTTGTTTTAAACTGCATTGTGGGTTGTTGTTCCTGAGCATGCTCACAAAAATTGCAGACCTGCATCTAAAATGGGGAGTGGTCATATTGAAATAACTTGTGAGTGTAGATCAGAAACAACTGCAAGCAGGAGCCTTTTGTAGGCCTGAAGTGTTCCTATTAGGTTAAAGTGATGCTTCATTCCTCTTACTGCTTCTGTTAAAGATGTATCAGATTTCTTTGTCTAAGGGGGAAGTTTTATTTTCAGGTTGTTAGAGTGACCTAATCTTGTGTAGTTCTAATGCACACACATTGCCTTTTATTTTAAGAATATCTGATAACATTTAGTTTTAGTGCTGTAACTATGTAGCTGTTTTCTCCCAGCCATTGATCATAACTAGTGATTAAATATCGAACAGTAATTTCCACAGGTTTTATTTTAAAAATAGGTACTTCTGAAAGTCACAGATATTGTATTTCAGTTGATCAGCTTACCTGCCTTTCGTACAGAAAGAATCTCTGGAGCCAGAATACATAATTTAAATAAAGGAAGATGTATATATCTGACACTGAACTCTCGTACACTGTGAAAGACCAAGAACATGTTTGGAACACTGTTGTGGGGAGCATGGGTCAGGTCATGCTGTTGCCCACTTGCACTCCAGGGAGGTTTCTCTTGCAATTGCATATTGTAGTTAGTAGTGGTGGTCCAAACCATTAAAAAAACTTCATTGCAGAGAAAGTGCTTTTGAGGCATTTTAGATGCCTCAGGACTCTGGAAAATTTATTTGGAATTTCACTGATCATGATCATAATCATCCCTAGCTAAATGTGTGGAGTAATTTGTTTCTAGAAGAAAATAGCATTATCTTCCTTCTTCACAGTGGATATTTTGGAGTGGTTCTGTAGTGTTGAAATGGGATGCTTCAGTGATCATCAAGCCCTAGAGGAGCAAAACTAGGTATTTGGGCAAATTCTCTTTTGTTTAGACCCTCTAGCTCCTCCCCTGTGCTGGAAAAACATGGCCAGAAATGCATTTTTCTATTCTTAAACATTTCCAGGATCAGCAGTTTTAAAGTACACTTGCCCCCATCTACAAAAATGAACATGAAAGTGGATGTTCACCAACTTCCTATTGTGATTCTCATTTTTAGAAGTAGTTTGGCCTGTTGTGCTTCTGTCCAAAAATTGCCCAGTTTTGTAGAAAGGACTTCCAAAGACAGGCTTTGTTATTTACAGTGGCTTATCAAGTGGCTGTGGTATAGAATGCGATCCCTCACTGTGCCTCTTTG